AAAAAAAAAAAAAAAAAAAAAAAAAAGAAATGTATGGCTGATGTTTAAGGGGTAACATTCACTTTATTATGACTGGCAATGTTAACTCTACCAATAACAAACATATAAAAAATACTCACTAAACCTATTAACAATGGTCCTGCCTGTCACACACGCAAACCTAATGCATGCGTGCTTTGTGCACCTTCTAACTAACACACCATATGTATAAAGGGGGAGGGGGAAGGAAAACTTGAGACACTTTTCCTTGCAGACCAGACCAAATACCCCTGTTACAATTTCTTTCACTTGTATAAACAATGTGCCCCTGCAGCACATTTCAAGATAAATGGCTTCAATTTACACTCTTCTCCTAAATAATCTGGCAAAGGTAACAAGGAAATGTTTCTTCTTGTTGGAAAAAGAAACAAGGAAAGGTGGCAAATGTGTATTTAGCACAAAACTTGCCAGGAGAAGATAAATAATGTGATTTATGTCAGATGCACAAGGGGAAATCCCACTTGAGAAGAACCCAATGTATCAGCCATGGCTGTCTCGGGAGGCCCTGGAACCTGCTCTCTCAGATTCACCTGGTCAGCATCTAGAAAGCACAGGTGCCAGGTTCTGAGTCACCTGGGGGCGGGCTGCCTGTGTTCTGGAAGCTCCCCTAGTGATTCTGAACCCCTGCCCCAGCTTCTCCAGCAGGCGGCCCAAGCTGGGCATGAGAGAAGCCAGCACAACAAAGCACGAGTAATGTTTGTTACTAAGAACTGCTTTTTTTGTCTTCTTCCTCGGGTTCTAGGCTGTATTTCAATGAGGGCTTTAGAATGCACCAAGCTCAGGATGCTGCACTGTCTAGGACATATGGAGGGAAAGGAGTTTTACTTCTCAACGGGGCCCTGATGGGAGCTGTGACATGAAGCTCTGGAGAGGCTGCTTTGATTCAACACGGCGAACGGTTAAGGGCTTTGAGGGAAGGCCCGCAGGGACAGCTAACAGAAGAGCATCCTCGAGCACCCTCACCCCTACACACTCCAGTTCCAAAAGGCACTGTAAGCTGAATGTTTACTGAAAAGCAGGCCTTCAGCTCCATCTTTCAGAAAGAACCCTCAGGGACCATCTTAGCTTTTTCCCACGAGGAGAAATCCTTTTTCTTCAAGTTTAGTATTCAAGGACATAAACATTTGGTTTGAGCAAGTAAATAAGTAATGGGAACAGCGGGTTGTTTAGTTCTCTTGGCATATTTTATAAACAAGGGAGCAAGCTAAAAAGCAAATAATGCCCTCATTAGGAAAACTAGTCCAGATTCGCAGACTGGCAGAGTCATCTGTGCAGGTTCACGCAGATGGCCAAGGCCACCGTGGAACTCTGTGAGGTGAGGTTGAACATACTGTGGTGTGTTGGAGAGAGAAGAGGAAGCGGGAGGGGAGGGGGAGGGAGGGGTAGCAGAAGAGAGAGGGAAATGATCACTGGCTATAAAAACTATTTAGATGCTGCAGAAAATTTTGGCAAATAGCCCAGGGAACTGCTGAGGCCCCAGTAATCAGTTTGAAGTTAAAGACCATAGGAAAAAATAGGAAACAACTTGCAACAGAGCCTGCATTTACATAAGGCCATAGGACTTCTCAGGATGCTCCATAAAAGCTGCCTGCAGGCAGGGTCTGGCTCCTTCTGGCAGGAATCACTATGTATTATGTCAACCAATTAGTGAACTGAATTACACTCAATCCACATTCTCTAGAGATAGAAAAGCTGTTTGAGCCCCCCCCCCCCGCCCCCAAAAAAGCCAATTATTAGTCCAGAGGTCACTCCTGAAAAGCTACAGAGTTGCACACCAAGGAACTCCAATAGCCTTTTTGAAGAAAAGCTCAACGCCTCCTTTTTTCCGGCTATCAGACATCAATGTCCCGCGCCTATCAATCATCTGTACCTGCCTCCTTAAGCACTGGCATAGCACGTGACTTCTCATGCTGCTTACAAAGTCGTAACGCCAGGTGAATTCAGACCATGAGGTAGAAACCACCACCACCAAAGCAGGACCACAGACCTCCCCGCGGCCCACTGCCCCCCCCCCCGCCCCTGCCCAGCAGAGCGGTCGCCTACAACTATAACCAATAAGGTGATGACCCAGGAGAGGAGTGCACACAGAAATAAAAACCAAATGCAAGGTTCACGCCGCTAAGAACTAACTAAACTCTTCTAGACCAATCTCATAATGGTTCGATTAATTTACCTCAGGGGGTTTCAGAAATGATACTATTTCCTACAAGATATAAAATGTACCTCAGGGATTCCATGTCACCTTTTTAGAGTTTTTAAGATGCATATTTAAATAAACACCTATATTTTAATAAAGGGGTACATTTTTCACATCTCTAGAACTGAAAACCTTTTTGCTCTTCCACCTCTTTACGCTAGTGATAAATGTGAATATTTTGCTAACGTGACAACCAGTTTCAACCAAGACAAGACTATTATCATTGGTAGATTTAGCAACTAGAATTGAAGGACCCTGAATTCTAGTTTCCACAACCAGCTATGATGTATCCTACTTTTGAGTACTGTTAAATTAGATTTACTTTTCCATATTACAGGACCATATTTTACTTAACACTTCATCTTTTTTTTTTTGAAGATGTTGGGGGTAGGAGTTTATTAATTAATTAATTTATTTTTGCTGTGTTGCGTCTTCGTTTCTGTGCTAGGGCTTTCTCTAGTTGCGGCAAGCGGGGAACACTCTTCATCGCGGTGTGCGGGCCTCTCACCATCGCGGCCTCGCTTGTTGCGGAGCACAGGCTCCAAACGCGCAGGCTCAGTAGTTGTGGCTCACGGGCCCAGTTGCTCCGCAGCATGTGGGATCCTCTCAGACCAGGGCTCGAACCCGTGTCCCCTGCATTAGCAGGCAGACTCTCAACCACTGCGCCACCAGGGAAGCCCAACACTTCATCTTTTATAAACAAATATGAATGTTTCTGCAAAACTGTTCAGTAACTTTTTAAAAAGTTTAGCTGATATCCACTTCCTTTGATAAATAGTTGTAACATGACTCATTCAGCCAGCAAGCATTTGTGGGGTTCCTGCTATGTGCTGTGTATTGGGGTGTGTGGTAGATTAGACAGCTCCAAGAGGCTCGCTGGCCAGTGAAGCAAACAGGCAGTACACAAGCAAACCAATGTGGTAGTTTCATGGCATGACAAGTGCTATGGAGGAAATCAAGGCGGCGATGCCATGTGAGTTACTGGGTGGTGGGGCAGGGGAAAGGCCACTTCAAATGGAGTTGCCAGGGAAGACCTAAAAGGAAGAGATACTTATGTTGACCCTGAAGACCTGGGGAAACAGCATTCTGGCCAGAGGAACTATAGCAACCACAAAGGCCTCACGTTTGGCTTGCAACAGGGAGAGAAAGAAGGCAAGAGTGGCTGGAGCTTGGTGAGACCATAATCGTGTCATTCACTTGGTTGCACTGGTAGACTTAGCTCCTTCTCGGGTGGACCTGTGTCATAAACTGCACGGCGTTCATATGCTCCTACATCAGTATTCACCCAAGTCACTCTAGAACAAGCTACCAGGAACAGAAATCCTTCTGGACAGGGCAGTTTTACAGATTCACTGACTTCTGCGACTCTAGCAAATGCCTAGCCTACATTACAGCTGAGTGACGGCCCGAGCTGTTCCTTATCTTGCTGTCTTCCTTACCATGCAGGAGTGTGAAGCTATGGTCTCAGGAAGCCCTTTCAAGTACTGAAATTACAGGTGTGGTTTGGGGAAAATGGTTTGCTCCCTTCTCTTTACCATTATCAAGATCAAAGTCTTTTAATTTAAAAATAATCTCATATTTATGAAATACCGCATAGTCATTTTTGACTACTGAGCGGAATGACCCATGAGATCCAGCATTTGTGATATAGATGTAGGTATACAGCCATGTGAACAGTGGTTATTACTGTGCAGTGGTTTATGAACAATATTTACCCACTTTACTTTTTGGGGTTTATCTCTATTTCTTAATCCTTCTGCAGTAAACACGTATAATTAAAGACTCCCCTGTGACAAAAAGAGAAAAATACGAAAGCTACTTGACAGGCATCCGAACTAAAAACAAACTCAATGCAAAACTATTATGCATCTCTATCATATTCTGAAATTCTCTGATATTTTTTTCCTTCTCCCAAACTGAACAACTGTAACAACAAAATAACAACCAAGCTTTTTGAACAACACTCAGGAAAACTGTTACTTAGGATCCTGGATACAAAATAAACTTTTATATGTGTGTGGTGCTTTCCACTTGCAAAGCCCTTCACACTCATTATTTACTTTTTTTTTTTTTACTTTTTTTTTTTTGGCGGTACGCGGGCCTCTCACTGTTGTGGCCTCTCCCATTGCGGAGCACAGGCTCCGGACGCGCAGGCCCAGCGGCCACGGCTCACGGGTCCAGCCGCTCCATGGCATGTGGAATCCTCCCGGACCGGGGCACGAACCCGCGTCCCCTGCATCGGCAGGCGGACTCTCAACCACTGCACCACCAGGGAAGCCCTATTTACTTATTTTTAAACATTTTGCTT